TTAACTTTTTCTTTTTTTTTTCTTTCTATCCTTTGCTCCCCACGCACATCAATCAGCCTTGGGCACCCATGACCCTATCGCCGGTTGTCCTTCCTTAGACCACTTTTGGTAGGTACTAACCGCTGCAGACCGGGAACACCCAACAAGAACTGCAGTTTTGGAGATGCTCTGACCTGGTCATCCAGCCATCACAATTTGTCAAAGTCGCTCAGATCCTTACGCTCGCCCATTTTGCTGCTTCCAACACATCAACATGGAGGACTAAATGTTCACTTGCTGCCTAATACATCCCACCCACTGGGGTGAGGTGCCATTGTAACAACGTAATGTTGTTGATGTTCACCTGTCAGTGGTCATAATGTTATGGCTGATCGGTGTATGTGACCTGGTTATTTGGAGGTCAAACAAACACCTGTCTTTATTATTTTACTCCTGCTCTTGTTTATATCAGGTTGTGGCTGATCATGGGACTTTAAAAAAAACACTCACTGTTGCCTGTTGATGCACAGAAATTCACATAGTAGTGGTTTTTAATTGTTAATACGTTTTTTGTTGCTGTTCACTGCCTCAATTCTTCTTCTCTCCTGCACCTCAGGTAATGATCTTCCTCTCCGGTACCTACGCCTCCTGGCCCCGCCCTTGCAGCTTTTATCAGCTGCAGTGTGGCAAATTGTGCAGCAGGGACTTGTGGATCACTATGGGATGCTGGAGGAGTTTGTCACCATGGTGACGGAGCTGGTCCCAGAGCTGATGAGCTACAGTCAGAGGGCTCAGCTCATCCTGGGACTCAGGGCCAGGGTGTGTAATATTCACCGTTCAGTCATACTGAGTTGAAACTAATTGTACCAGGTGGTCTCATTTACAATATCTGCAGTAGTTTTTAAACAGTCAGAATTAAAAATTAAAGTAAAACAACAAAAGTAGTTAAGATAACCACTGCAAATTCAGTTTTGCAGTAAAGTCTCCTTTTCTTCCCCTATAAGGTGGCTGATGTAGCAACAGGTCAAACATTGAAGAAAAAGTCAAACATCTATTTATTTACTAACTATTTACAATGTATAATTCAAATCTCTCAGAAAAGAGATCAAAGCTTTAAAACATTTACTCAGCAGAGTTCACGAAGCAGGGCTGTATTGTTGTGATGTTTTGGATTTGTTTCTGTGTAACACCAGCTGGTCCTGGAGATGTGTCGAGGCGAGCACCCAATGGACATGCAGGCTATTCAGCCACACCTGGACCGAATTAAAGCCCCTGTCAGCACTGCCAAGGATCACCATGTAAGTAAACTCTAGCTGGAAAACACACAGCTGTTTCTTTCCCATTTGAAAGTTTACTGGGTCATTGATGACTCTCTCTTCTTCAAAGCTGTTTAAAAAAAAAAAAAAAGATTCACAAATATACAGCTGTTTTGTTCAGCTCTATTCTTCTCCAGTGGAGGAAAGGATCAAAATGTAGGCCATGTTATTATATGGTGTGCATGATGAAGTGTTGTGTTCATATTGTGTTTATCAGGTCACCATCAACCAGGTGGAAGAGTCTGAGGTTAACTTTGTGGAGTTGGTCCATTCGTTACTGGACGATCCCTCTGAAAGAAAATATTTCTTCCAGGTGAGACGGCACTCACTCTATGGGTTTTTTTTTTTTTTTTTTACTAATGTGTATATGTATATGTGTGTGTGTGTGTGTGTGTGTATATATACACACACACACACTCACTGAGCACTTTATGAGGGACACCTGCACATCTGCTTAATCGTCAGCCAATCATGTGGCAGCAGTGCAATGGTTAAAATCCTGCAGATACAAGCTAATGTTCACATCACATATCAGAATGGGGGAAAACAATGACCTCAGACTTTGACCGTGACATGATTGTTGGTGTCAGACGGGCTGGTTTGAGTATTTTCTGAACCTGTTGATCTTCACACACAAAGTCTCTCAGTATCTGAGAGTTTTGTTTTTTTTTACTGGTGCAAGAGATGACCGCTCTTTACAACTGGTGGTGAGCAGAAAAGCTTCTCAGAATGCACGACACGTCGAAACCTCGAGGCAGATGGGCTACAACAGCGGAGGGCCACGTTGGGTTCCACTCCTGTCGGCCAAGAACAGAAATCGGAGACTGCAGTGGGCAATGGCTCACCGAAACTGGACAGTGGAAGACTGGAAAAACCGAGCCCGGTCTGATGAGTCTGGAATTCTGCTGAGGCACGCAGATGGTCGGGTCAGAATTTGGCATCAACAGCATGAATCCATGGACCCAACCTGTTAGTGGCTCCATATAATATTTCCTAATCCAATGAAAATAAGCAGTTTAGGATCTTGACTCCAAATGTTCCTCTACAAATGAATGTCATAAAATTTTCTGTTACAGTGAAAACCAAAGTTACACAGACAAAAACATCCATCAGTGCTCAGACTGAGCCCCTCACTTGACTGCAGGAGTGAACATCGTCAGATAGAAACATGTCCTGGTTTTTATGATCTGCGGACACAGGAAGATGTAGATTAGAAGAAGAGTTTGAAGACGCTAACCATCATATCATTCACAAGAGTGCGTTAATCGAACTGCTTAATCCAAGTGTGACAGAACTAGCGACACACTGACAAAAATCCACAGGCAGTTGCACCACTTAAGAAGTTCAAGGTTCTGAAGCATTTGAGCCAAACGCAATATTCTGATATTTTAAAACCTGGCAACAAGTTGAGAACCACACCGGTGCAGCAAAACATGCGAGGAGCTTCTCCTGCGGCGAGCTGTAAGGAAATCAAACGACCTCCTCACAGACTCATGCTAAACGTAGCTGCTCTCTCTCTTAATCTGTCTCTCTCTCTCTCTCTCTCTCTCTCTCTGTCGCATTTGTAGGAAATCTTCCCCGTATATTTTGGGCCAAAGTATGACACAGCACTTGAGATGCTGGTGTGGGAGTTCATATCGAGACTGGATGAGCTCCTGCCCGTTCCAGACTTCACTCAGGTATGTTTCCTTTAACTCTAGCTTGGCACGCATAATCAGCCAGTTACATAATAATGATAATATTAATAATAATAGTAATGTACCCCCTTGTGATAATTTGTATTACACTTATTAATCCAGATGCCTTAACTGGTCTGAACTGTCTATATTTGCTTGAATGTCACCAACATATCTGAGAAACTCATGGCTGAATTGGTATGAAATATGCATTTACACTCACAAGAGAAGCAGCTGACTGATTGTGGCGAATCTCTATGTTTTCTTTAGTGGTACTTTCACTTAAGGTTTAAATTAGCATATGTCTTTTCATATCCACACTGCAGCTTTTTGCTGCTGACTGTCAGTCTTATGTAACCGGTCTCGTTTTGGCTACTGTTCCATCCCTGGTTTGTTACCTGCCCACTACAGTGTTGATGTGAAGGGCCTACCTGGGGAGTACACTGGGCCCTGTGGGAGAGCTGCTCTACTTGTTGTGCTTCTGTGTTTTATTTCACATATTTCATTATTTCATAATGAACCAAACGCAACACAAGATGGTTCATGACCAGGAAATGGCTTTGGCATTATTTCAAACTGAGCAGCCTTTTCAGGCTGACTGTGGCACATAGGCTCAGTGCAGCGGCTCATCGGTCTGCACCACTGACCCAGAGACAGATAGAGAGGAGGGTTAACTGGGCGCAGGTGCAGCACAGTGTCCCAGTGGACTGCTTCCTCCCCTCTCCCTTTGTCGTACCAAGCAGTCGGAGAGAAGCACTACAACAAAGCTAGAAAACAAGCACTCAGACACTGTAGGAAACTGTAGGTGAGAAGTAAAGATGTCAAAAATACACATGAAGCCACATTTACATGAATTATTTCTCATGTGGACTGCATGAGGTCGTAATGTGATGCTGATCAAATTTTTAAGTGGTATCACAAATTTCTAGAAAAACAAAATGCATGTCAAGGAAAATGTATAACCTCTCACCTAACGAGCTACATCTTCATTTGACCTCAGTGTAGGTCATTCAAAAATAAACCACCAGCATAATAAATGAATGCAGGGTTACTAAAACTAGTAACTTGATCTCACTTCTCAGCTGGCAGCTCTGCTCGGAGACGCTCCGACATTCCTAGACGACTGTTTACAATCCCTTTTCCCGCCAGAGGACATGAAGGCTGTACTTGAACACCACAGAAACCTTGGTCATTTTGAAGAGAAAGGTACTGTGGGCTCGTGGTGGTGAGAGATGCTGTAACTGTCGTCCAGAAAACGAAGGGTCAACACTGAAGCATGTCCAAACAAATAGAAAGAAATATCATTTCCCTTCTGTTGCTCCTGTTTGTCGTCTGCAACATTCAAGATTTTTGTATCGTTTTGCTTTTTCTTGCTGCTTAATTTCCCACATTTTCCAAATAATGAGTCTCTGAGTAAAGATTACTTCCTGTAGGTTGCATCATCACACAGCAGAGAAAGCTAGTAAAGCATTACCTCTGTCACTTCTGTCTTTACATTTAGCTAAATTACAGTTTGGACATGCTTGACAGTTGTTTCTTTCTCTATGATTAATGTTCGAACCAAGCCAGGACCTAATTAACCATCCTTACTCTCAACTGTAGATCCTAGATTATTACCGATGGATGACTGCATCCTCTCCTCCCTTTCGCTACCTCCTGGGGCCAAAGCTGTCAAGAGCACCACCTCCTGCTCACCTGCTCTCAAAGACTCAACCTCTCTGGAGCACAAAGGGCGTCTCGACGCTCCCATCAACACAAGCGGCCCGGAGAGGGCGGGCAGGAGGAGCTCCGAGACAAGCAGACAAAGACTCAAGGAGACAAAGGACTCTGACGGTTGGCAGCTGCAGGTTAGAGGAGGGAACGTTTCTCAGGAGAGGAAAGTGCAAAGTTCAGTTAGTGCACAACCATGTGATGAAACCATAGACCTCACTACACCTAATGAGACTGCGGAGACGGACTCGGCAGCCAATGAGGACAGCCAAAGCTTGAGAGGAGCGAGGGTTCTCAGGAAGAGGAAGCTGAGCGGAGGTGAAGACGTACCGGCTAAGCAGCCTGTGGAGGCGTCGGCTTTCTTGTAAGAGTCCCAGAAATGTTTTGCTCATTGGTTACACACAAAGACATGGACGCAGGGTTTCCTGTTGGTTCACTTGACCTTTGTCTTCTGTTTTATTTAATTTCGTTTTTTTTTTTCTTTCTTAACCTTCTGAAAACACATATTTGTCTCAATCTCAATTTCCATACATTCACATTATGTTCCTCTCCAACCACAATACAAATATCACAAACCCAAACACCTCCAGGCTGTTTTGTTTTTTGTGGAGCACAAAGGGAGAGAAGTTACTTTAATCTGATTATAAAAGGGTTTGTAAACCAACACGTCAGATTTGTCTTTGGTGTGTTTCCCATCTTTGCAGGGATTCCTCTGTGGACGATGACAATTCAGGTGAATCTCCTCTAATCTCGATATGGGGAGAATATACAGGTTTGTACAGTTTCTGTATGAGTCAGTGGATCCACACGTGGTTCTCTTTGTCTAAGCTCAGGCTTCTAACTAACTCTTTTTGTTTTATGTCAGACTCTCAGGAAGGTTCTCTCCCAGTTGTGACGGACATGAAGGTTCCCTGGTCGGACGAGGAGACGCTCCATCTGCTCGACATCTGGGGGAAGGACTCGGTGCAGCGGGCTTTGAAGGGCTGCTTAAAAAACCGTCACATATTCACGCAAATCGCACAGAAGATGGCAGAGAGGGGCTACATGAGAACAGTGGAACAGTGCCAGACCAGGATCAAACGGCTGAAGAAATGCTTCCGCCAGAACAAGTGGGTTTTAAGTGACACGATTTGATCACTGTCATCATTTCTGTCTGTACAGTCATTGAAATTTATCAGATAACTGCATGTCACCCTGAAATGAAAACATAATTTGTGAAACAGAGAAAAATTGAAGTGATTCTCTGACAAAATGCCTGTTGTCTTGTCCTCGATCCATCGCCAGAGGAAACTCGAGGCTTGAGAGTAAATTTTACGAGCGACTGGAGTGCGTCCTCCGCTCCTCGGCTCCTCCGGCTGTTCCTGAGGTCACCTACGATGTTGAGGAGGTTCTCGATGAAGATGACGGGGATGAGGACTTGCATTTTCTCGGCCACGCGAGCCGTTTGGAAATAGGTGCGGTGTGGACACCAGATGTTTGATAACGTAACTTGTGTGACAGAGCCATAAACCTTTTGATCGGGCATTATAGATTTTTTTTAGATGATATTAAAAAGGTTAAAAACAAGGCTTTATCTTCTCCTTGTCTTTTAAATGGAAAAAAAATTGCAATACATGTCAGTGCAAACATTATACAGCATGCACAGAAAGAGAAAGAATACAGTTGTTGCAAAACAAGACATTAAAATGTAACATTCTGCACAAAATATATCCTCTAAAAAGTTGTTTTCGATTCAGCTGAACTCTGAAACGATCGTAACAAAAATTAAACTTCTGTATTTGACTGTATTTGCTTCCCAAAGCACAAAAATAAACCAACGTTAACCATAATACATAGTTTTATTAAAATGACAAATTCCATTACGATTATACTTTTATTATGCTAAACAATGTGTTACATGTTTTTTTAAGGAACCAGAAGCGTTCCATGGACAGACCCGGAGACGTTGGCCCTCATCGACACGTGGGGTGAAGACAAGATGCAACAGGAGCTGAGAGGGATGCACAGAAACGGACATATTTTTTCCATCATATCCACCAAGATGGCCGCCCAGGGCTTCTCCCGAACACCAGAGCAGTGCCAGACGAGGCTGAAGAGGCTGAAATCGAACTTCAGGCAATGTTACCAAAACAAGTATGTGTGTTTGCAACAGGAAGAATGAAAGGAGAAACTTTTTTTTTTTTGATTGTTGATTTATATTTATATATATATCCTCTCTTTTTATCCTCAAACTGTAGCCTGAAGGGACAGGGCCAAGTTGAGTGCAAGTTTTACAATGAACTGGGAAGAATTTTAGTGAAGGACTTCGCCTCAGTGCCGCAGCTGGACGAGATACCAGGAGAGCCTGAGGAAGGCGACATTCCTGCCCTCTCCCATCAGGATATCGGTAAATACAGATATTCTCTGCTGACCGCAGGAGGTGTGGGAGAAAAGGTCAGATACTACATCACCCTGCCACCTTATCATTATACACTGACTGATCAAGTTATAGCTGGATCCTTGAATGAAAAACCACTTTCAGACAGTGATTCAGTGGGTTTAAGACTCTGGTGTAACGTATTTTCATTTCTGACACGGTGATTTGGTGTGAAATGAGGCCTCAGATGCTGCTAAGTGAGAAATCTGGATTAAACAACGTCTAAACTGGGTTATTATTTAATCAGATTTATATTTTCTCTTTTTTTATTTGTCTCTTCAGAGTCTGTTGTGGGCATCCAAGAAGACAGGAAGAAAGTCCCCTGGTCCGACAAAGAGACCATCATCCTTCTGGAGATCTGGGGAGACGTACAGGTAGAGGACAGCATTTTAGTTGTGACATAGTTATACCTTTACTTTTCCTAAATAATCAGTCATTTTTGCTGAACTGTAACCAACCAACGACGAAAATTATTATTTGGATTGCTGAACCGAGCTAACTAAAACTCTCCATCTTCTTTACATGTGAGTTAAAGCTTTGATCATGTACAAAGCTTTTTCCTCCTTAAGAGCGAAAGTTTGAGCTCAAGGAGAATTAAATCAACTACACGGTGATAGATTACAAGAGGATGCAAGTGCAGTGATATCCTAAATCAGTCTGATTGTTCAAGTTATTTTAAATATTTTATATAGTGCTGCCTTTAAAAATGAATTTCACCTACATTCAGGTCCAGCAGAGCCTGAGACGCTACCCACACAACGGTCACATTTTTACCGAAATATCAGAGAAGCTCAGCGCCCATGGCTACTCCCGCAGTGCAGACCAGTGCCACACCAGGATCAAACGGCTCAAAGCTAACTATCGCCAGTGCCAGGAAAACATGAGGTAAAAACTGCACGTGATTGTTTGTTTTGCATTCTGCACCGTTGGCTCGACGTGTGCGTGTGTGTGTGTTAATACAGCTGACCTCTGCCGTCTGTAGCTCATCTGGGACTGATAGAGTCGATTTTAAATTCTACGATCTGCTGGAACAAATCCTGGAGAAGCAGCCGTCAACATCCGCCACTGTGGTAACCGACTCCATTGAAATATCAGAAGACTCCAATAGTGAATCAGTGACTGAAACAGGTAAAATACCCCCTCAGCAACTCAGGGCAGCAAATAGAAGCACATCTATACTCAGCATTACACTCTTTACTGATTGTGGGTACATTCATACAGTTTTACATAATGTAATCAGCAAAAATGTCCTGCAAAAATATGTGTGACTGCTGCTTGTGAGAAATTGTGTGTGATATTTAGAATATGTGCTGTAGTGTCTGAGGTATAAACACAGTGGAAGAATATTGGTCTTTAATCATCATTAGACTTTAATTCATCATATAATCTTATTGGATTTTGGTGCCGTTGATCAGTGTGCAGTGTTTAGCATTTTGAATTATTACTAGACCAGGGAAGGCTGAAGCAGCAGAAGCATATCCCATAGCATGTGTGTTTTATTGCACATGACTTCCACTTTTAACTTGGAAGAGGAAAAATTAATATTCCTTATTTCAAATGTTACATAGACTTAAATACATGATCAAACTCATAACAACTTTACATGTAGTAAAAAGGATAAATGAAACAAAAGCAGAACAATCTGACTTCTTGGATGAAACCAACTGCTATAATAAAAAAAAAAGGCCATTCTTATGAAAATGAATGCAGACAATGACCAGTGCTGTGTTTGTGTTGAAAGATGGAGACATTGAGGCCTTGTCAAGTGAAAAAGCAGCACCCAGCACATGGTCAGATGAGGAGACCCTGGCGCTTATCGATATCTGGGGCGAAGAAGACGTTCAGAGGGCACTGAGGGGTTTTGTCCATAACGGACACGTTTATGCCGACATTGCCGAGAGAATGCACGACCTCGGCTTCTCGAAAACCTCGGAGCAGTGCCGCTGGAAGGTCAAGTCCCTGAGGAACAACTTTCGACAGTGCTACGACAGAAAGAAGTGAGATCTGTTTGCCTTTCTATATGATTGTAAATATAATGCATATATATATCATGGTAATGGTTCGTATTTTCACACCTTCTAGATGTGGACGAAGAGTAGATTATAGATTCTACAACCAACTGGAACAAATACTGGGACAGGAAGCAGTTTCTCTGGATGAGTACGACGAAAGAGACGAACAAGTAGACCAGGAGTCAGGTAGAGTCATTTTCAATCATTGACCCGGCAGCAGCAGAAATGCTCCGTTAGATAAACATTCAATCACAGGTCCAGCGTCTTTTTTATTTCCCCCTGCAGTAGGAGTAGATGGCTTGAACACAGTGTGGACGGAGCACGAGACGGTCGCTCTCGTTGAGGTGTGGGCCGCAGATGACGTGCAGCACAGCCTGAAAACCTCCGTCCGCAATGGCCACATATTCGCCGACATATCGGAGAAAATGGCGGCGTTGGGATACCTGAGGACGGCGGAGCAGTGCCACTCCCGGATCAAAAGGTTGAAGAAGACTTACAGGCGTCACTCCAACAGCAGGAGGTAAGTCAAATGAACGAATGACTGGTTGGTTGAGTGGATGGTCCTCCTCATAATTTCAATACACTATTTCCCAGTTTACCTTTGATTCCTGCTTTGTAGAAGTGGAGGCCGGCCCACAGTGTTTCGATACTTCCATCTCCTGGCTCCAGTGCTTGGTGACGACTCTTTGTTTGCTGATGTGGACAGTGCCGCTGTGGACGCCACCTTACAATCCTTTATGGACAAGGATGCTGACTTGTGTAGGGTTAAATATAATCAAATCCATTTGTGTAGTTTTTGTCATTACATATTTGGGTAATTGTGCAGTGTTCTCGTGCAGATATTGTGTAAATTTAAGAATAATAAAAGGCTGCTGTTCCGACTTTTAGACGAGCAGCCCTCGACCAGCCACCTCCTGGCCGACCTGAGCAGAAAGATGCCCTGGTCAGACCTGGAGACTCGCACCCTGCTGGAGATCTGGGGCGAAGACAACGTCCAGCTCACCCTGAGGGGCTGCCTGAAGAACCGACACGTGTTTGAGTACATCTCCGACAAGATGAGCGACCGAGGATTTATGAGGACCTCGGAGCAGTGCTACACCCGTATTAAGCGCCTCAAACATGGCTTCCTCCATGAAAAGTCAGTGAGGACAAAACAATGGTTCTTATTTCTTCTAAACACATTCATCATTTATATTATTGTGATTGTTGTTACAAGCATCATGAGGCAATATTGGTTGTTTAGATGTCAAATAAACTAATGTCTGCTCTTTATCAGAGAGAATTCACAAATACAACAAAGGTAATTTTTTATTACTGTGGAAATTTATGTCAATATCTAAGACCTTGTGACTGTAAGGCCTTGGATGTTGTTGAGATGTTCATTTTTAAAGTAGAACACCCAAATTTATCACTGTCCCTCAGCTCCTCCTGATGTTTTGTTGTTGTTGTTTTGATGTAAGCCATGAGTAAAGGGATCACATGACATCTGAATTTAACCAACTTTTGTTGTTCAAATTTAAATATTATGTGTCTGATAGTAACTTCAAGTTTTTTCTTTTATTTTATTTTTTATACATCCAGGGAGGAATTTAAGTTCTTCAGTGAGATGGAGGAAATCTTCAGGAAGGAGTTGAAGGTAGACGGCTCAGTCACTGACACATCAGTCCCAGATGAGCCGGATGACTGTGCACCTGAACCGAGCCAAAAGAAAGGTGAAACAAAAGGGGAAAACAAAAAGTTTTTTTGTTGTTTTTTTGCCAATTGAGTGCTGTATATATACCTCTGTATAGCTTTTCATTATTCCTCATTATTTTCATCATGCTATATATGCTCTTAATCTGTGAACTCTATTCTGTTAGTTGCCTCAGGTAACCAGTGGGTGGCTGACAGCACAAAGCTGGCCTGGAGCGATGGGGAGACCGAGGCGCTCCTGGACATTTGGGGGAGTAAAGAGATCCAGGACAACCTGAAGGGCTGCACCAAAAACAAACATATCTTCATCCAGATCTCTCAGGTCATGGCCAGCCAAGGCTACCTGCGCACGCCTGAGCAGTGTCAGACCAGGATAAAGAGGCTGAGGGCCAATTTCAGACACTTCCTAGAAGGCAGAAAGTAGGTGCAGTTATTTTTTTTGGGGGGGGGGTGTTGGTTGGATCATGCTGTATTCTAAAAGCAGTTTTATCCTGTAAACATGTTTTAAACCTCTTAGCAGTAGTTGATTTTTTTTTTCTTTGCATAATTTTCCACCTCCTTCTAACAAGCTCTATAAATTCTGTTTCATGTTCCCAGAGGAGAGAAGCAGGAGTGCAAGTTCTTTGACCAGTTGGTGCAGATATTTGGCAGCAAATATGTAATGAACTCTGACCCCCTGGCTGACGATACAGCTGATATTGTTGGTAAGTAGTGACAATGCCTCATTAATGAGATTTTACATAATTTAGCATTAGCATGTAACATCTCTGGTCTATTTCTTGTTTTAAAATTGTCATGTTAAAGCTAGGAGGATATAACTCTGCTTTTGTATTTTTATGTAGTTTTAGCACTATTGGATCAACAGCCTTGAAAGGACAAATTCAGTATTTTGGGAAATACGCTTATTTGTTTTCTTGCCGAGAGCTATATAAGAGGATTAATGAAATTAATGAGCTTTATGCTCAGAACACACTGCTGCGGCTCACACACATGTGAGTTCACACTGGATGCATGTCTGCTGCGTCGCTGCTACTGCCAGCTCTATCTTTCTACATTGAGCTCGCCTTGACTTTTGTTTACCCTCATTCAGACCAACACACACAGCGAGAGCAACAGAGAGAAAGAGAGAGAGGGAGTGCACTGGAAAAAACACTGCCCTTCATCTTTTGAATTATTGACATAATATAATTATAGCCTGCACTGGGTTTCTGTTATGACCATACAGTACATGTGGCCTCCACTGCCTCCACATTTAAAAGTTTAAAGTGTTTAAAAAATATAATATTTAAATTTCTTTCATGTCTGTGTCATATTCAGATTCAGCCTAAACATTAAAACTAAATATAAAATATCACAAACTTTCTCCCTGGCTTCCCAAAGTGATACTGTGGCAGAAGAGTCACTGGCAGACCAGCTAGTTCAAATTCCCATTTTTTAGCATGTTGCTGTTGATCATAAAGTTGCGTTATGATACGCTCACACTTTTTTCTGTCTGACCCAGAATCATGAAACCGTTCATCATCAGGACGACACACAGCAGAAGCAGGTGGACACAAAAAGATTCAGAGGAAAAATAACAAGGACATAAATGCAGAAACAGATATTTACTGCTGTGGTGTGCAGTTGTTTACAGATGACAGAAGAAAGCCTGTCCAGGCTGGATCACTGGAATTTACATTTGCCTCTGTACATACTCAAGATACTTTCACATTCTTCATACAGACAAGACCTACTTGGTATGTAATGTAGTGTGTGTGTGTGTGTGTGTGTGCGCGCGTGCATGCGTGCATGCATGCGTGCGTGTGTGTTTATGTCCCTCAACTAGAGTGTCCGTGTGATTATTAACACTAGAGCCATGCCACTAAAACCAGGATGCTCAGGGCTTGAGGGTCAAAAATAAAACATCTGATTATGACCTGGTAAAAGTAAAAATGCTGTGCAGAAAATGCTGTGCTCTCCCGGGAAACATGTTTTTTCTAATGTTTAATTATTTTGTACTTGAACTTTAGTGAGTGAATCAAAGTACAAGCAAAAAGAAATACACGCAAGGCCTAAAACCACAGCCTACATTTGCTTTTTGGTCTTAAATGTTAAATCCTCTGTCTTTGGACTTGTTTGTAATGTTTGAGATCTGAGTGGTGAAAGGTTAAAGTTGAATTATTTATAAATTTTGTTCTCCGTATGTGTTGCTCTCGAGTTTTATTTATTTAAATTACTGTTTACATATGTGTTCCAAAGTTTTACAATTTTCTTTGACTATGTTATACTTTGAGCATTATTGAGGTACATTTTTCCACAAATATGTAGAAGTTTTGTCACGTCCATTAAAAGAAACTTGAAATGTGCAATCTGTCGTGATTATTTTTCTGTGTGAAATATGTTAAAAAAAAATAAATAAAAAACACAATCAGAGCATGAAATTCAAGTGGAACTGCTGAATAAATCCAGTGCTTGATAAGACCAGGGAAGCAGACAAATATCTCATATCATACAAATCTGCAAAAAAAATCTCTATTCTATCTCTTTTTTATAAGTTTTCTGTTGTTGTTTGTTGCCGGGAGTGGATTGTGGTGAACTTTAGCCATGGTTGCATTTACAAGAAAAGGTGGTTATAATACACCCTCAGCACTACCTCTTCTGGCAGACTGGAGGCTTCAGTGAGTCGCTATCAGAAAGAGACCAGACGGGCCAGGGCTAACTGGTTAGCATGCTAAGTTCAGTAGAAGGGAAAACGTGATAGAGACAAGACTTAAGATTGGAGTTGCTTTTCATCGCTGGAGACAGCTCTTGGCGAGTAAAGGAATGAAGTTTCATGTTGAACTCACAACATTTCTTCTAGACTGGTAGGTAAACAGCTGTTAATGCTAACGTTAGCTATGTAGCAATAGCAAAACTTACAAATAGCCCCTTTGAAAAGAACTCCACGGAAACATGAGCACAACACTGACATATCACCAAACTTTTGCGCAAACTTGCTTATTTACATATCCAGCAGTTATAGGCAACATATTCATTTGTTTTGGGTCATGTTTGTAGCCAGCTGACAAACGTAAAGTTAGTGTTCACTCTCTTTTAGCTCTGTTTTGGTCTTAACCAGCTCCTGGAGGAAATCTATGGCTCTTAGCTGCTAAATAATGCTCCATTATGTCCACCATATAGTTGCTAACTGTCTGTTTGGTGTCCAGCAGGTAGTGTACAGTGGACTTTAAAGACTTGGGCTAAACATCTAAATAATGAGCTGACACTCGCTCCATAAAGTCGAGGGGACCTGCAGATTCAGTTTGATTCTCTGTGGGTTCATCACATTGTTATCTGCCTTCTATGAAATTACAGATTATAGATGCTTTAACTGAAGGATCTGAGTACTTGAAACTTTTTAAATGTAACTAATGTGTGGAAAAGTTTGCATTAAAAAAGTTGCCACAGTGATCTAGTCCATATTCTATCACCTACACAGACTGTGGATGAGTTACTGCTGTTTGTTTTAACTGCAGTCAGCCAGAGGTCCCTGCTCTGCTTACATTAGATAAGCTCAAGTGGAATGAGGGGAAACCAGAAGGGAATTGCTCGGCAACGACTTCTAAACACACCAACGTTTCCCGTCACAAGCCTATTAAGTTTTACATAATTTAATTTTTCTGACAAACACTCCCACACTGTGACCATAATCATACTGTATCAGATACTGAAGCAGGAAGGCACAAGTTGTTTATTACATTTATGGTCTATTCATCCAGCACAGAGAGGTGGAGCTGAGATGGAAAACGAGAGACTCTTCTGGATTGTCTTTTGTAATCTTTTTAGGATGATAATGTCTGACAGTCAATCCACAACTGTGATTCAAACTGAAATATCTCAACAACTATTAGATTCATCCTCTTGGGATCTTGAACATCTGTATAAAATTTCATAGCAATCCAATCCAATATTTGATGAAATATTTCAGTCTGGAAAGTGCAAAGATTAGATGTTTATTATTTAGACTATGGCTCACAAATTTACCTAATGAAAGTTAACAAGTAATTCAAGTGTGTTTTTGAGTAGTAGCGTTTGTCAGAATAATTGTTATACTTTTAAAGTGACGTGATGACATATATGACAGTAACATGATGATGGGGTAAACCACAGAGATGATAGAAAATGTAGTAGCTAGTAAAATATGGGGACATCGTGGTTGCAGCTAAGCAAGAAAATGAAATACAAAGAGCAAAGCTTCAAAAGAGACAGAATGCAATACTCTGGATATGTACTTTTAATTTTAACATCCGTAAGGTCGTATAAAAAATACGAGCCACCAAATATTTGTAATGCAAGTTATCCCTAAAACACAATTCTTAGGATTTTATGTTTTGTAGTCAGTGAAAATGTGCAGCACAGTGTTGTATAGACAGCACCAGACACTAACCCTACTATGGTGGCGTGCCTTGCGGTTTACTCTCTCTAGGCCAAACAATATGCTCGACTACAAAAACATGGTGTCCTTCCGCCCAAAGACAGACATTGGGTGGTTTGTTGGCATCAGCCAACACGGCATAACTGGGTAGCAGCGGTGAATCCTCCTCTATCGTGACAATGTAGAAGTCCTTGGGTTTACTTGGAAATATACACATGCATCGAACCTGGTGTTGGACAGGGGGAGGGTCCAGCTCTTCCTGCAGCCTGCTCAGCAGTGAAAGAGGAATCATTCTCATTGGGTTGTCATCCAAATATTCCTCCTCTGCTTCTCGTCCCTCTCCCTCCACGTTTTTTCCGTCTTCTACGTCTAAGACTACGGCCTCATCGCTGTCGCTTTCTTTCGCTTCCCCATCTTTCCTGTTGTCCTCCTCTGTTTTGTCGTTGTTGTTCTTTCTGATGAACACCACTGGAACCATTTTCTCTCCCCCACTCAGTTTGTATTTCCAAACACTCAGCTTGTACCAACATGGCTCCAAACAGAACTTGGAACACAAAGAAAACATGTAGCTTTGTGTTAGATGGTTCCTTCTATGCATTATGTTCATATTTGACCATGTATATTATTTCTGTCAAATTTCACCACCATGTCATGGAACTTACCATATAATAACACGTCATAATCATGGCCAAACCGAACAACATGAGGATGGAAACCGGCGCACCGACAATGATGAGCTAAACAAATCAGAAAATAATTTATTTTTTAAGAAACCTGATATAATTCACAGACTAAATTATATTTACCCATTAATTTAATTCTTTTTACAGTGGCCCTGAAGGCCAAAGGACAAGAATAGTAGACAAAACACATTAACAAAACAGAAAATACAACATAATGGAGAAAACACAATGGTATTTCGGAATACATGATTTTTCAAACAACATGATATTTGATTAAAACTTAAAAAAAAAGATATCTGACTATCAATGTGAGATAATAAGCTGGAGGGAGAAATAATTCAATTTACTGTGTCTTTAATGAATATTCAAATGGGTAAAAAGATCTACCTAATTATAATGTAATAATCCTTACCCAAACTATCATGATGATCCAGAACGTGGAGTTGCGTTTTTCTTCAAGGAATAGGACTGTAGGGAGACAAGGCTGCACACACACACACACACACACACACATATATATATATATATATACACCTGTGCTTTCCCACTCATCCTATATATACTTTATATTGTGATGACATCCTGGATATAAAAATATACAATTAAATATAGGAATAATATGAAGGTCAGGGTGTCCCGTCAACAGTTCACTTTTTTATAATGCTTTTCTATCACGAACATACTTGGACCACCTGGGAAGTTTTTCATTGCAACACCAGGACTGGCCACTCTTGGTGTTGCAATGAAAAGTCCCTAAAACACAATTCTTTGGATTTTATGTTTTGCAGTCAGTGAAAATGTGCAGCACAGTGTTGTATAGACAGCACCAGACACTAACCCTACGATGGTGGCGTGCCTTGCGGTTTGCTCTCTCTAGGCCAAATAATATGGTCAACTACAAAAACACGGTGTCCCTCTGCCCAAAGACAGACGGTGGGTGGTTAGTTGCAATAGTGACTATTGCCACTACGCCACAATCACCTCACAACTAGATATGTAAATTACAAAAGACTTTGAATGTTTCATACAGTTCAGTTCAAAGATTTGTCACTACTTCATTTTTTTTCTTTTCTTTTCTTTTTTTTTTTTAGAGCCAAGAAAACCATCCATGCACTGATTCAGACTGTCTTCAGGTAAGTAGTATATTCAGTACAAAACTAATGTATTCAAGCACTTCTTATAAGGTTAATAGCTCAGCAGACACTTCACTGACAATTATCAGATTCTAGTGATTTCTGTGTCTTTCTTTTAGTCTGCTTTTAACAAGTAACAAACTGTGTAATGCAGGTTGGAGGATTTCAACTGCTCCTTCCTGATTCGCTAATTCAGAATGGTCAGTTCAGTTTAAAGATTTGTCGATAGAGATTTGTTCGTATACGTGAGCCAAACACCTCTACTCACAGCCCAGTGTTGTTCCTGGGTTGCTTGATCGAAACATTGCTATTAAGAATATCAGCAGATTTTTTTTTTTCACTAAACAATAAACAATAAGATCTTTGAAAAATAGAGAAATCTTTCAACTGAAATAACCAAAGGTGCTATAACTTTATTTTGTCTTCATATACATGTAGCTCCCACAGCTAACATTTTACCTGCTCATGAACGAGGCTGTTTCCATATAGGACCTAAAACAGAAAGGTAAAAATTACGTGTCTGTTGCAAACACTGTAAAATATACATTATTGTGTCATGAAATGTGCATTAACTTCTATGCTACAGTTGCTTTATATCCCTGTCACCTTAAATGAAAGTGTTTTAGTTTTGAAAGGTGAATGACTTACACATTCAGAGCTGTCGTCCTCTCCTTCACATAGGCAGGAGTCGGGGATGGCCGGCCACCAGTCGCTGTGGTTTATGAGTCCACAACACTTAAACTGGACCAAGCACACACACACACACACACACACACACACACACACACACACACAAAGCAGAGTTGATTTAGAAGTGCATGTGCTTACAAAGAAAAGGTGCTTTATATACAGTATAGTATGTTTAAATGTCATATAAGAAGACATGCACATTGGCTGACAGTATGATACATCAGCACAACTCTTTAAAAATAAATTTAACACCCTAAAACATGTTCCTCACCTCAGTCTGCCAGCGGTACATGTTGTCACTGCTATTACATTTTCCATCATTCAAATGTGTCTGTATGTCTCCTGGTGTATGTCTCAGAGGTCTCAGGTGCAGGTAGTGCTCCTCAAACGCTTGTATTTCCTATAGAGGCGAATAGAAAGACATGCATGACAGATAAACTCGACTTCATTTTTTTCACTCCTACCATTTTTAAACATGCTATTTTGCTATTTTTCATGCATCTTAACTCAAAGTCCAAGCTTTTTCCAGATTCCAGATCATTCAGCCACATTTCATGGTCTTCCAATAAATGGAGCTTCTCAGTTGTCATCATGTGACAAGTAAATAAGCCAATTTCCCCAAAATGTCAACCTTTAAAGCTTTAAAGTATGATGACAACATAATGACAACTGAACTACTTGTATGAAAAGAAGCTAGTTAGCAGACCTTGGGCTAAGATTTTTGTCAGTCTGCTGTTGCATCGTCATTAATGAACTTTCACTCTATTAGTTCATGTCTACAGCATTCAGTTTGCCCACCTCATTCTCTTTCTTCCAAGCCTTTGTAAGAGATACAACCATGACCACAAACAGGATGCAGATTGCACACAGTGACTATGGAGAGACAACAAGAGAGAGATATTTAAGTATGTTATTTTTTTGTGTTTTTTTTTGTTTGTTTTTTTATATCATGTTGTATTTTACTTTTCACGCACTGATACATACCAGAAACCACAAGCACGACCCCAATCTCCTTATCCAAATTGACATCAGTAGCAGGATACAGATCGGCAGACTGACCCCTGACCACAAGTACACCAGTAGGGCCTTTCTTTTCAGTTTGGACGCGTCCTGAAAGAACAAAATCAAACCACTATGGACAGAGCACAACACTAGTGCTTAAGTCTGCATGTTGAATCTGCTGGAACCAAATGTCTCAGTCAGATTCTTAGTCCTCTTGACGTATTCTTTAATCAGATAGTTTTATGATATATCAAGCGTCAGTAGATCACAGTAGTATCACAGACAATAACCTAAATTGCCTGATTTTAAACTGCAGAGATTTGAATGTGATTTTTTTTTAATTCAGTTTGGACAAGCACAATTTCAAACCTTGTGTCCTTTAACTTCTCAAATCTCAAAGATTAAAGCATTTATCTCCTAAATGATGTCCCCTCTGAATACTGTTAATTTGGTATTAAGTCTCTTTCTGGACCACAGCTGTTGTGCTTTTAGCTGACCCTAAAATTTGAAGCACACTACCTCATTTCACTGGTTACGTCTTTTGTGTCAGGACTGATTTAAACATTTTCTTTCTTTCTTTTAAAACACAGCAGGACCTCCATACATTTAGAAACATTGAAATCCTTATTTGCTTCCTTATGTTATTGTTTGATTCTGTTAATATACATAATAATGGTAATACGTGTATAAAATATAAAATGAAAAAATAATTGATTTCAACAGTCATTTTTCAGTATGATTGATGATATTCACCCCTCCCTCTGTGATATGTCATGTGGCTTTAGTCTCTCCCACAGGCTGTCAACTATATTATTAACCTTTTTATGCACATTAATGTCTGCAAAAAATGTCACACAAAACATCATTTGGTATATTAAGTAACCAGTCACCAGTAACAAAATGGCGTTTATTAAGAGAGCATGAGAATGAAAAGGTGCCTGAGACAGCGCTCCCCAATCATGACTTGCTAAAGAGGTCTTTCTCAAAAGCCTTCTTTAATCAATGGGCACAACAATTCTAGCTGCTAGAATTACATTCAATTCAACTCCATTCAATTCAATTCAAAGGGGCTTTATTAGCATGTCCGTTTGAGAAAAAACAGTATTGCCAAAGCATCAAAATACAATTCTGTCTTTATTATCAATATGTTTGCAGTGCGATATAAATAGAAACAGTAAGAGATGAAAAGAAGCTTGTATAGTTTTACCTCATCACTGTTCCCACATTCCAGGCTCTTGCTGTTCAGAAGGTGCCCTGATGCTGCCAAGATGCACAGCAGTACACACCAGACCTGGAAGGCAATTAGCTTTACTATACAGCTGGAAGGTTTTCTCTTTACAAAAAATGAAAAGTGGTTGAAGTTAACAAAGTGCAAAGTACGCAAGTTGAGCTGCCAACCTGCTCTGCCACCTGAGCCAAGTACAAATAATACACAGTTCGTATTTCAAATTTATGCAGCTTTTCACGCCACCTTCATTATATATCATATTATAGCCTTCTCTTTACTCCTCTGCTCTTGTCTGAAAGCTGTATTATCTATTCACTTGGCAGATCTATCGATTCAATCCTAAAATGAGTAAAATACTTACGGCATATGCGATCACCAACAATGTTGCAGTCCACAGTGTGGGATGTGGCTTCCTGCAAAATGTTTTTTTATTGTTATCCATCTCAGCAGCCATGTCTTCGCGGTTTTAATTTTCCAGGTGCCTCAGAAGGGAAACAACCACTGACTGAGCCCAGACAGATGTTTCGCTTTGAGAAAACACATGAGAAGGAAACTGCCCGTCAAGGCTCCTCCTCTTTATGATGCCTGGGCTCTATCAGGAAAAGGCTGAACAGGCTGGGTTATATTAACTACTGGGTTAAAGTTAAAGAACCTTCCTGTTAACGGTAAAAGGTTAATGTTGGGAGGAGATTGTTGGAGAAATAGAGACCAAAACTGATTATTGGTATAGGAAACTAAAAAACATTAGCCATTAGAAGCCCTTTGTTACTTGATTGTAATCAGATATTTTTGGCTGTTTGCTGAAAGAACAAATTCATTGATGCTAAGTTACTCTATGAGTATTGAAAGAGAATATTTAAACATACACTAAGTTGTGAAGTTTCATACATAAAAATAGAAATGGAATGATGAGGTAATTCTGTATCTTGTATGTTATAAGGTTTATTCATTTATTGATATAGACATACATAATACAGAAATTAATTTAGTAACAACAAAACTGCTGTGAGAAAGAAGTTTGATTATTTAAAAGTTAATTTCATTTTCCTCTTTTTCTTTGTCTTGTCCGTTGTGGGACTCTCAGCTCGCTGCATGTTTGCTCTTGGGGGCAGCTTGCAATTCTTGTCAAGTTCCTCTGTCATTCCTGAGATTGGTGGCAGCACACTTAGCAGTCTGGGCAGATTCCCACTCTTTGGCCTGGAGCACTTAACTGGAGCGTTCTTGATGTCAGGCAGTTTACAGATGCTGTTCAACTCAGCGGTTCGCCTGAGGCCAAGCATGTCAGGTTTGTGTCCTGCTGACCAGGCACTGCCGGAGCTGGACTGGATCGTATATTCAATCGGGGGCAGACGTACAGGCATCGGTCTGTCTCGTTTCAGCTGGCAGCCCTGCTTGTTGCCACTGCTTTGTCTGACAACTGCACAAGAATTAAAAGTTAGATAGTAAAACATTTCAGTGCAAACAGAAATGAAACACTATCCTGAACCTTGAATGCATCATATAATAGAAACTAAATAGTTCAGGCTTCTTTTTGAGTCTTTTGGAACAATAAATGCTTCATTAAGAAAAAAAATGATAGAGATAGCACAATTACTGATTTTCGAATCAAGCAGTAAATGTACTGTATGTGCAAAAGCTACTTTATTATGACTCTTGGAATTATTTAATATCCACCCCCCTCATAGCAGAGATGCTATAGGCTGAGCTCATACGTGTGATTCCACTGCGTGTAATATGATATGTTGTGTAATCTCACCTGCAGGAGTCATGGGCAGTTTTTGTTCCTCAAAGTAATGTCTGTCCTGCTGCAGATTCTGCAAGTCCAACCAGAGGCTGGAGGCTGAGGAGCGTTTGCTCGACTTCTTGATCTGCTGCTGGACAACTGCTTTGACTGGCAGTGGGGGGAAGCGGGTGGGAGCCACTTTGCCACTACATGCACGCTGATATTTTATACAGAAGAAAAAAAGAAGACAGAAAAACAAGGGGAACATCTGTAAAATGCACTGAAGACCAACTTGCGAAATGCCCGAACAACTCTTTGCTTTAACCCAGTTCCACCACCACTGATAATAATAGTCACAGTGATACTGGTAATCAAATAAATGTAAATACATATTTGTTATTATACAGTTGGGCAGACTAACCTTAGTGTTGCCTGTTTGTTGTGTCATCAGCTGGCGATTGCCAATTTCTGGCAGGGTACATCCGAAAGTCTTGGACTTCTGTGATGCCAGGACGTGATGGACGTCTCCTGTATGAATCTGGTATGTGCCACAAAACAGTAAATGTAAGTAAATCTTGTTGACAAGACATATTGTTTTTATATACAAAACATAACATAATTGTACCACGAAACACACAACTGATGTTACTGTAAGTTCCTGTTTGGAATGAAAAAGATCAAATTAGTCTTAATTATGGATTTTGGGTCAAATATTCAAGGAAAACTATTTAACTATATAGGTTGAAATTTTAAGAACAAAAAACATGTATATTTATTTATAGAAATGTATTTCAAGTGAGTGATATAGAGTGAATGAATAAAATAAAGGTAATCTTGTACAAACTCTCTTATTTAGGTTCACATCACTTCCGTCCTCTCTCTTCTCTCGTTTGTCTAAGATTTTCAGCTTTCGCCTGCAGAAAAAGGGCAGACAGTTAAAACTGTATTACTGCAGCACTGAACATATAAGGTCTCCAAATCAAACACAACATTGTACATTAGTTACTGAGTTTCTTACTGTTGCTTCATGCCGCTCATGGTTTCAGTCTGACAGTGCAGTGACCTGAAATAGTTGAGGTTTGAGGTAAGTTTCTCACAAAATACGTGGATCAGATGCAGATACTTGCAAATAACTGCAGATACGACGTGTTCAGTAGTTGTTGAAGTGAATGTTCCAGTGCCAACAGTGACATCACAGTGACATCACAGTGACACTGGAGCATTCCATATCCACTGATCGCACTAATTATACATTATGGAAATAATTAAGAATAGAAACAACTATTTACATTGGTTTATATTAAAAACTGTTTATAAATTATTTATTTATAGATGAATTATGTTTGTTCATATAGTTGTTGTTTTTTTAACAATATTATCCTTTGTTTTAAAGAGTAAGACCCTCCCTTTCCTTTAAAAAAAATGCAACTCTCTATCTTCATTATCTCCCACTACTGAATTTTCACTTTTTTCAAAGTTCACTTTGCCATTAATGACCTAAAGTGCACAAACATTTGAGATGGTGTTCTCTTATTCAAATCTTAATATGATTCATTTTTCACAAAGCCCCCAAATCAGTAATTATAAGGGGAACTAAGAGCTGTTATTGTCATTTTACATGATACATTTAACTAATAGATTTATGTTGGTGAAAACAGTTCGACCAGTATAATACAGTGTATACCATGGGATTATAATTCTTCTTTCAGTATTTGTGATGTTGGATCACAGTGAACCAGTTAATTTTCCCCTCAGTGTCCTGACCTTTTCTTCATTAATACATCAGCTGTGATGTTTGCCTCGCAATTTGCAAATGTTGCCCACTTGGTGGCGCCAGTGGATAATAAAAGTTACTCTACAGCGACTAGAACTACCTTAAGGCTGTATTTTTAAGCCATGGTGGCCATGCTTGAAGTCCTGAATTTAAAAAAGACACCAGAAATGACTGAAGTATTTGTTATTTTCAAATGTCACGTACATTATTTATTCAATATGCAATATAAAGAAATATTTGTCTGTGTGGTCTACAGTCTTGTCTTGCTGTTTCTTTGGACAGTATGTTAGGTTGTGTTGTGTTGTCTGTTTACAGTTATGTGTCATAATGCAGCAGGGTGTCACTGCTACAAACCTACTCCATGTAAAACACATACACACAGACTGACACAGAGACACACACACACACACACACACACACATACACACACACATACACGTACACACAGCTCTCAGAAGCTAGGACAGTAATTACATGTCTAAATCTGACAGAGCGTCCAACCACCAGTGTCTGGCTGTGTGTGTGTGTGTGTGTGTGTGTGTGTGTGTGAGACATTGGTAAAGACAGAGACAGGCTGGCTGGAATCTGTTAAGGGAAGGGTTATACCGAGGGTGTTGCTACACTGACTACACTACACTCACACACACACACACACACAGACACACACACACACACACACATACACATGCATAAGAAGGCAGTGCCACATCACCCACCCTCATCACTCAGTCCACTTTGATTCATCAGTTCTGTGTAATACAGTTAATTTATTCCATTTAACTGCAGTTATAGTGTCTTTTGTTGTTTGTATGTTTCATTAGCATTTTAATTTTAAAAAGTACATATATACTTTTCAAAATGAAAGTTTTTTTTCAGGTTTAAAAATATCTTTGAGCTGAAATTATCTGGTAAACTTGTTGGAGAAAAACTGTTGGAGAAAAATAATTTGTGAAAATTTGTTGGATTGGTGGTGATACCACAGTGCGCAGAGTAATTTGGTCCTGTCTCCAGCTGAGGATGCTCTTGTGTTGCAATCGGTGGTGGAAAGTACATTTACACAAGTACTGTCCTTAAATGTTGAGGTATTTGTGCTTTGCCTGAGTATTTCTACTTGATGATACTATGTACTTCTACTTCACTATATTTCTGAGGGAAATATTGTACCTTTTGCTTCATTTGAGATTTATCTCAATACGTTTTCCACTGCTGGTTTCACTAGTGCTGAGTTTGATATTGGAGATGTCATCTACTTACTGGGCCTCCAGACTGAAACATTTCCCAGTTTCCTCTTCTCCTTTCTCTCTGTGTTTTTCCACCAGCAACATCCAGATACAGATAAAAAGACAAATTAAAAGGAACAACCAACACAAAGTATTTTAACAAGTCCATAACCACATAAATTCTCCAAGTCCGTGGTGCTTTACTGGAGGAATAAACACCATTAATCCAAAAGATACTCCCTCATTAGGTGTTATGCAGATGGTGGTGAGAGTGTTGTGTAACACATTGCTCCATAGTCTCCCATAGGTGTTCAGTTGGGTTGAGATCTGCTGACTACAAAGGGCTTAGCAGAGGATTTTCATCATTTATCAAATCATTTCGTGACCCCTCATACCCTCTGGATGGAACACTGTCATCCTGGGACAAGCCACATGCCTCCGAGCATGATAGGATGTTAATGTTTCCACTCTCATTTATTCAGGTTTCTCTTTTAATTTTTTGCCCTCTGTATGGCGGGGTTGTGCAACATGCCACTGAGTCAGTCCTCCATCCTGAGGGCAGACATTTTCACCATACTTCATTACTGCAACAGGCAGGCTCACGTTCTCTCTCTCGCTCTCTTTTTCTGTGTGTGTGTGTGTGTGTGTGTGTGTGTGTGTGTCCAGACCAGATACTGTATACACGTCCTGCTATGTTCTCAAACATGCAGCTTCATGCTCTGCCCTCGACCACAGACACATGTGTGAAGACTGAACATGAGGGAGAGGAAAGCAGTGAGGAAGAGAGTCAAAGAACACAAACATCATGGAGAAAAAGATAGTGTGTATGCATCTGTGTGCGTGCACGCGCATGTGTATGTGTGTGTGTGTGTGTGTGCTGTGCATGCTGGGAGCCTCCCTCCCTGGGGGTTGTGTATGGGCTTGTTACAGCAACATTCCTCCTCTCAGCTGCTTCTGAACAGCACATTCCAGAAAGAGAGAGACAGAAAGAGAAAAGAGGGTGAGTAAAAAGGGGGGGGGGTACATAAGGAGAAACGAAGAGAGGGAGATGAAAATGGGGGAGTAAGAAATAAGAGGAGAATGAGAAGGAGAAAGTGAGAGAGGGAGAAGTAAAACAAATTGTAGAGAAGATGGAAGAGAGAGCAAAGAAAGATGGGCAGAGGAAATTGGTTGAGGAAGGAAAAGGGAATAATATTAATAATAATAATAATAATATTAACATGATGTGTAATTGATCCCTGCTGTGTGCTTCATGTTCAGCTGACTTGCCCTGTTCTCCACAGAGAGGTCAGAGGTCAGGGTCAGATACAGTACAGAGCAACCAAAGCTAGTGCTGAGAAAAGGAAGTGACAGAGAGGAGGCCACAGGGTCTCTCTTAAAATATTATTCCCCATACAATCATAACACACACGCAAACACACACACACACACACACACACACACACATACACAGTAGACAAGAGCACTCTTTGGTGTGTTCATCTCTTCAGTCTGCTTGACCTGTTTCCACTGAACTGTGGAAGGAAGATACTAATCTCACCAATAACATGGATACACATAATGATTCAGCCACACAATTACACTTCTCTATATAGACACACAAATGACATGAAGACAAAACTCCTTATAATAAAAACCTATTTATACAGCATGTTTCTTATACAAATAGATGAAAAGTGATAAACAGGAACATTAAATACAAAACAGTATTAAAACATTAGGTTCAAATAGTGCCCAACATTCTGTCTGCACATATGCAACATAATTCTTTGTGTAAGTGGTGAATTGATGTAATTTCCTGTAAGTTGCTGCTTAGTGTTTACTCAGATCTCACTGATACAGACACAAAAATAGTGTGCAGAAGATCTGAAACGATTAGTCGATGAATCGGTTAGTCGATCAGTAGAAAATGAATCATCAATTGATGACTGATTAATGGATAGTGAAAGTGATTGTTAGCTGCAGCCCTACTATACACTAAAAACGGCTACGGGCTTGTTGACAGATTGCATGTTGTGTGTGTGTGTGTGTGTGTCAGAACAAGAAGTCAAAGGTGGACACACACACACACACAGTGAGTTTTATTGTGCCTTTTCTTCCCTGTTGTTTGACGTTATCTTGTTGATTCAAATGTGACTTTGCTTTGCGTCAGTTGAAAGAGGAGAAATAAAATATAACGGATGAAAGTCAACTGTGTCCCTCGTGTCTGTAAACTGAAGAAGACAGACCAGAAGCACAGAGAGATGAAGAGAAAGCAAAGAAAACATAAAATATTTACTGCGATAACAAGCAAATAAGCTTAAAGACAACAGCAACAAAAAGCAGTTTGTGTGTGTAAAAAAGCTTGTTGGCTCAGAGACAGCGTCCCCTCTCCTTCTCCCTCACTCAGCCTGAATAGATGGGTTTGTTTGCCGTCACTGGTAGAACTAAAGGAAAATAAAGTGACTCGATTCCACTTCTCTCCATGTGTGAGTTTATTGGAAGGAAGTTAATCATGCATAAGTATCCCGTCCCCCGACAACTCTATCCAGAATACCAATTTACCAATAGCTTTCTCTCCTTTTCCTTTCATCTTTTCACCCTTTCTTCCTCTTCAGTTTGTCACTTACATTACATTCAAATCAACTGGATGCGCAAAATTTGCATCCTTATACATAATTATGTAACACTTATATAATTTTAACCAGAACCACTACTTCCTTTTTCTAGTACCTGAATACAAGTATAATAACTGCAAATCTGTTTTATTTGCATTGCCTTTGCAAAACCAAGCAACGTGCATGACATTGAATATTAAACACCACACATGAACACACAGGAAAACTACATACCCACCTCTGTGACCATTAGTGGAGATGTTACATGATACATTTGTTTGTTTCTATTCCTGGCAATATCTTAATCCAGATTATATATCTGACCCATTAATCTGTTGCTGCTTTTATCTATCTATCTATCTATCTATTTTGATAGACAGCTAGCTAGCATGTGTTTATTGTGTGTATATTGTGTGTGTGTGTGTGTGTGTGTGTGTGTGTGTGTGTGTGTGTGTGTGTGTGTGTGTGTGTGTGTGTGTGTGTATAAAAATCTGTATGTATGCATGACTGGATTATCAGAGCTATTCACTCAGGTTTTAGACGATGGAGCTGATAAACCTGTTTTCTCCTTGTGCTTTCGTGTATGTATTGGATTTGAGGTGCAGTAAATTCAGCCCCTGTCAACATATATGAAGAAGTTGTCAGGTTTGCTTATGGTAAGCAGAGCTCCCACCCAATAATGGACCTTAACAGAAAAATAAAAACAAGTTATGCAACAAAGTCATTCAGAATTTAATCTAAATATACATATACATATATATAATATAGAATCTACACCACTTTGTAGGTCCACAATGGTGGAAAATTGTATTTGGTCCATTTTACAGTCCATTAAAACATTAAAACCTTCATACACACACAAGCAAGACTGGATTACCAACTGGGCAAAGGGGGCCCAGATGCTCAAGGGCCCTGGGCTCGAAAGCCCTCTACTCTTGCTCTCCATTTATGTCTACATAATTTGATAAATCACAATTTTATTAGAAAATTGCAACTCTGAAGGACAACTAGCTATAACAGCCCATCTATCCTTTCTTACTGTCTTGTAGAGGGACCGTGTTCCAAAATCGAGTTTTAAGACCTTTATTGCTTCATTATGAGCTCATTGGTCATAAAGTTGTATTTTATGAAACTCCTTGAATTTTTGTTTGTGTGTAATTAACACACAAGATAGCTGGTCAAGGTAGTTCCATGACAGGATAACTGTAAGGCTGCAGCTAACAATTATTTTCTTCATCAAAACTGTCAATGTTATCAATTATTTTCTTTCATGATCGATTGAATGTTCAGTAAACATAGTAACACATAGTACATAGTAACATAGTAAAAATAGTGACACATATCAATGTCGGTTACAGTGGCATGTAATAAAAAGATAAAAGGCGTTTAAATAAAATAATGTCATTTATTATAGCAATGACGAAGATGAACCACGTCAAAACGACAGACACACATTTTATCCAATCACATCTGGCTGTAGTTCAGAGCTACGTCCACGCTAGCCAATGACATTGTAATTCCCGGTGTCAGCTGTCCAATCATAGGCAGCTATATGCTGGAAGAGGCGGGCTGTGTTTTCCGTTGGCTTTGCCCAGTCCGGATGTTCCTCAGTAGCAAATAACGAGCAGCAGTGTGTGAATGTGGCAACCGAGGTAGACAGGGAGGGGTAGATAGACTGGCCAGAGCTGGGATTTTTGTCTTTTTTCTTTATTTTTCTTTACTTACAGAGCAAATTGTTGACAGTTTATGTTAGGCCACGGCTGCGAACTTGTTTGTAGGGCAGAAAACCGGGCCGCCGCTGCTTTTCTTGGGGACTAACCGCTGTCGCTGTGAAAACAGCCCAGAAGAAAGAAGGAAAGGGAGAAACAACATGGGGCGATAATAAAACAAGAAGGTGTTGTGTTGTGAACCGACGATGACTCCCTGGGGGGATCCGTGAAGCTTATTTATTTTTTATTTATTCCCCCTCTTCCTTTTCCCCATTGTCTTTTTTGTTTTATTTTTACGTTTTCTCCTCCCTTGCTACTTTGGGAGGTTGTGTTTTTTTAAGAAAAGGGCAACGGGATACGTTACAAGAGGACTGAAGGATGGACCAAGCCGGCATCCTGAGAAAGTTTATCCAGGGGGTGAAGGCCATGAGCGAGGGGGACGAGGAGAGGGGAGAGGACAACTTCGGCAACGACTTTATGGTGGGTCAAAATATACAGCATACCTAGCTTCCTTTACTTCATATATATATCTCAACCAGAGCCCACTACCTTCATAATTTCCAACACACCGACCCTCCACACACCCCCCCCCCCCCCCCCCCCCCTCCCCGTCTCCTGGTTCCCTGTATCCCCCAGGAGGTGAGGCAGGGGCGGCCACACTGCCCTCTTCCTTTTCCTCCCATTTCCAGGCTTTACATGGCGGCCTAGCATTGTCTCCCAAACCACAGAAACACCACCGGCTCCTGTTTCTTTAAAATAATGAGAAAAACAACAAAACAAGCCACATTCACGTCCCTTTGCAGCCCTGGGCTAATTTTTTACATGGCGTTGTTGGAATAGCTTAGCTTGCAGGTAACCGCTGGGCTAAAGTGTAGTGTTATTGTGGCTCTCTGCTTACTGTCTGTTAACCATGCCTGACTGTTAGGATACAGTGCAATGATTCATTGTCCTCTCTGATACTCAGTAAGCAGTGAATATCCAGTAACCTAACTGAGCTTAATTGTATTTACCATCTCCAGTGTTTTACCTGTAATATTCCTGTACATAGTTTTGTTATTGTCTTTTGCTATGAATCTCTAAGATACGTAGGATGACTATAGTTTCTGTTATAGTAAAGTAGCACCTAGATCCACCTAAAGACAGTCAAACCAACACCTTTATTTCTTAAATACAGTTTACAATGCTTTTGGGCTCTGTGTTTGGATTTAGTGCAGGGTTTTTGTTGTAGACTGCATTTGTTTTTTCCTAGGTGTACCTAATGAAATAGCATAGTGTAAATGTTAATGGTATAAACTGTAAAGAACATGGCATAGTTTATAGAATCTTGTGGACAGGGTTTTTTGAGATGGTAAAGAGTCAGATTTTTTTTTAAAGTAACATATTCTGAAAACATATTTAGTTTGCCTTATGATGACCGTTGACCCTCTGTCAGACGTATGCCTTTACTACATCACTGGATGTTATTGTGTTGCAACACTGGACTCAAAATAGGACCTCTCCCTGGCTTGTGAAATAGCTGAAATAACCACAACAGGGATGGCACTTCTCTGATAACATTGATAACATTTGTGTCTTCAGAGGACCTTTTTTTTTTTTTTTTTATGGATTCGATTAGGATATGTCAGGAAATGCCGTGCTAACTGGATGATTCATACACATTTATGATCTGTGTATGCAGCAGTGGAATTTAAAATTAATGTTGCTATTAGTAAAGCCACTAAAGAATTCAAATAAAAGAGGCCTCAGTTACAGTTTAACTGGTTGTAACAGCAGGTTAGGATTGGGTTTACTTCACATAAACCTACATCAGGTTTCAGGTTAAATGAAGTGCTTTTATTTATTTATTTATTTATTATTGTACCATGATTGTTTGGGGAAGCCAATCAGCGTCAGAACAGTTAACTTTTACTTCTTTTGACTACAGTTGCAGACACACACACACACACACACACACACACTCCCTTCTCCTTACTTCCTACTTCATGCAAGCTGCTTGCTGGAGCTTGCAACATTCTTTCTTGGCCCATTTCATAACATTTTGTCCTGGCTTTAAATGTGGAGTGTTATCAAGTGTTGGCCACACTTTGAATAAATGCCACACAATTTGACAGGCAGTTCTCCCTGAAATTAGGCGCATAACAAACCCTGAAATATGCAGAATTCTTATGTATGTGTCTAATTGTGTGCTGATGACCTGGTCCGTCCTGTCCTTCGAGCATGTGTTGCAGAAAACAGGGAGGTAGCGGATGTTGCGCAAAAACCAGACTACGAGGGGTGTTGGACTGTGTGAGAGGCACTGAGGAAGTGCTTTATGGATGAGGGAGACACCAAAAGGAGCTGGGACTAGTCTGCTGCTGGCTTATTTACATGCCATTCATTTCATAATGCATGTGGTCAGAAATAGAACTTTTACGCTGTAGCCACTTAGTTGGAATAATTATCTTGTATAATTCAGTGCACATTTTTATTGGCTGCTGCTTCCTCTTAACCTTAAATTCTCCATGTAGACTTGATTGGATAAGTGTAGTTACTTGTTTTAGCTCCACCATACTTCTCATTCATAACTTTACACACATCCACGCCTTGTCAAACTGCCTACTACAGCCACAGCCCTCTGCTCTTATGAGGAGCCATAGGTGAATCTATGTGATCTTAAAACGTGTTGTTGAGGTTGAAAAGATTGCTCCTTTATCAGTTTTCCCAACAAAACAACCCTCCAGCTTTTTGTGGCTACTGAAAATTACATTTTTATTTATTTTTTTTATCAGAACCCCGCTTTTCAAACACCACTGACTGCTTGTTGTGCTCTGATTCTTCATGTGATATCTGTTCAGTTTCCTTTTCAGTTAGCTTTATTGGCATGAAATATAATAATTCGTTTTTTAAAATGAAACATATTTCCTGTTAGCCTTTAGGCTATCACGCATCCATCCAGACAGTAACTTGACTATCAGACAACTCGCTCAAATTTCATTTTTGGGCCATCTAAGTGCTTTAATTCAAGCTATTTCCTTAAACGGGTTATTCACAGTAATTAAGTTATTTTTGTGCATGCAAACTTGCTGAATGGCAGCTTTATGGCATCCATGTAAATGGGCCCTCAAGCTAAATTTCCTCCCAGCTGGCAACATCAGTTTGTGCATGTGGAGTTTCTTCTAAATTATTCATCAGACAACAGCAGCTTGTAGACAAGAAAACTTGTCCTGATTGAGCACAGGTGGGCTCTGTGCCAGTGAACCAAGCACAATTAAGCCGCATCAGCCAACATGTAAGTAAGTGCTTCAGCTGGTTGCTGCTGGTCTGTCGTACCGATTCCAAGTGTTGTGTGAAGCTTTCAATTGCTGGAGTCAAACTCACAATACCACAAGCGCATGGGGTGTGCTGCTCTGCGCAGTGAGTCACCAGAACACCCTGACATAACACCCACTTTAACTGCCTATTGTTGTTTATATATAGAAAGTGTTTTATAGACATAATTACAGTGCACTGGTAGGGCAACGAGTCAGAGATTATATACTTTGTTCAGTGCTGTTTCTCTGCTGTTTTAATGGAACAGGAACGCTTGAGATAATTTTTCTGCCTGGCACCCAAATGTGACAAGTGTCGTTTCCTGGTATTCAGTCGGGATCTTGTTTCATGTTTGAATCCACCAGAAGCGTTTTTGTGGCCCCTTTTGACATTCAGAATCTTTACAGGGTGTTGTTAGTTTTAGGAATTTCATTTAGTGGCGTATGTGTGGAGAAACCGCAGCAACTGATGTAATTACATGGCACATAAAGGTGCATATGGTGCGAGTACGTCAGGGCCTCCCATGAGGTGCAAGGAGACAGAGCAAAACATGATGACCAGTCCAGGGTTGAAGACGTAAATTGGACACATTTTTGGTCATAATCTTGGGGTTATAGTCATTTACAAGCTAGATTACACGCTTCTATATACTCTCACAAACACACAGCATTATAGCCTGCATGTGTCTATAATTTCTAACCTGACTCTTTGCGTTTTTCTGGTGAGTTTATGACAGAGTGTGTTTTAAAGCTGACCTAAACAGGGTTGCATGTTGGTGGATCCAAATGTCAGTGAGACCTTGAGTAACTATTTGAAACATTTAGGCTTCAGAAATGGTATTGTGCAACATGTCATCAGTAAGAGGCACACTGTATCATTTTAACCAATCTGGTCTGATGATGAGGGCTTAATCCAGAGGGTTACAAATGGGATGAAAGGCAAAGTATGTACTGTCCAGTCCCATGACGCAGGTTCTGCAAAATTGGGGCATCTGTGCAGTAGCTGCTTCCACAAACCCAAACAATGGCAATCTTACTTGTTTCACAAGGGTGGTTATCAACTGGCCCTGTCAACCCACGACTTTCCAAACCAGCTATTAGTGCACTTATGTAAGAGAGCCAGAGTTTTTTTTTAACTAATAGATAGTAACAAAGGCTACACTATAGACACATCCAGAGAAGATTTAAAGTAAAATGAAAAAATTGGGGAATCATTGATTATGATTCAGTAATTAGAAATAATGTAAACACAAAACTAAAGTACAAAAAAATTCTAATTAAGTTGCCCACAAGGTAAAATAAATTAATATATTGAGTCTAGTTTTAAGCATCATCTTCTTTCAGGAAGTAGAAATTGTTAAAAGGCATAAATGTGATGAGTAATCCCCAAAACATAACAGCAAAGTCGAGCTTTGTTTCTGTTTCAAAGGCTGGTGAGGTAAAGTGTAGAATTAGCTGAAACAATAGCTTCCTTTGCGTATCATAAGTTCATCACAGTGGCACTAGTTGCGAAAGCTCAGCGTGGTTTCACTATACTGCCGTGAGTGAATCCTCTGATTGTGACAACTCCTCTGAAATGAATTGAATTTGCTGCGAAACGCCACTATCTTCTCCTGGTGTGACCACACTCGGCCAAAGATATAATGCTGACTCACAAAACTGGCTGTGCGAAACAAGCCTCACCGCTCTATGGGCAGAGCTTGTTCACTACCTGCCGTCATGGAGACTTGTACTTCGCACTTCAGTTTAGATGTGTCACTTCCTGTGGGCAGAGAAAGTGTCTCTATTCACTTTCATTTAGGCAAATAGAGAGAGGAGTTCACAGCTTCTCTGGTTTGGTGGTCTGGAGACACTGCTCTTTTATTAAATGTTTAAATATTATAGATATCTAGGTGACAGTCAGGACAGTGTGTAGGAGTATGGAGTTTAGCTCAAAGCCAGGTTGACTGAACACACAGCTGTTCATGGACATACAAGCTGCAGGGATTGAGCTTGTGACCTCTGTGTTATGGGAAACCGTTTGTAGCTTGTAGGCAACCCCGCAGCCTGAAAGAAACATGCTATTACACAAAACATTTATCCAAAATTCCTCACAGTGTTGTACACATGCATTTTGTTTTTTTGCAGGGTTGTCCCCCAGTGGATCTCCAAGCGCTGGCAGCGCGATCGTAGCATTACAGAAGACAGGAGATA